GCTGGATAATGAGAACTGGGGACCACAATAGTTAGACAAAATCAATTCCTATCCAGGGGATGAGAATGTATGGGGAATGCCAGGGGAATCCTCAACACCCACAGCATCTCTCTGCCTCCTACTAGTATATCTGCTAGCAGCAGATGTTTTTCAACAGTTTGTTAAGCAACAGAATGCATATTTCAATTATTCAACTCAGTGCCTTTCGACTAAGGGTAAAGTACCTTTTCTTAAAAAACCATATTTTTATCTTCAGTGTATCTTTCTCTTTTTAAAGCTTCTTTCCCCAGTTCTAGCAGCAGAATCTCCATGTCAAAGCCCCGGAGCCACTGCCGAGCGCTCACAAAGCCGCTAATCCAGATAGCGCAGCTCTGGGAAATTGCAGGACTGGCTGAAACAAAAGGGCACGGCTCAGCACGCAATGCACATAATCTCTCAGACAGAGCGTAGGACCACATAAAGACGCTTGTGAACCCTCAGGGGTCTCCCTGGGCAAAGTATCGTGCTGTGCAGGGTGAAAAGAAGCGTTGGGTGGACAAAAATATCCCTGAGCAAAGAGTTCTAGTGAAAGTAGAGGTATGAAGGGTTGCCTCGTTGTGGTGCTGTAGCATCGTTGTTCATTCCAGTAGTGAGGGACAACAGACATTAGACTCAAAGCACTGCAATTCATTCCAGCACATTGTTTGCTGTGGCCTTTCAGGTTTCTGCCCAGTGCAAGCTTGGCCCATTTCCCTTTCTTTTTATACAGTGCACAATCCATTTAGGGATTTATAAAGGCTTAGAGGCACATGTACAGTGCCTTACCTCTATCTGATTTTCGTTCTGTGATAAGAATGCTCGAGGTCATGGGTTCGTTGGCACTCCTCTGCTCTCCCCCATTCGTGTTGCATTGAAATCCAGTTATTCATTAATGTTTATGATTTCTTGTGGTTCATCAGCATCCTCCTCACTATCTGCAGAAATCCCAGTGTTGGCTATGAGGAATGTGTGAGCCTAGCAAAGGGTGCAAGAGGGAACAGAGGCAGGGGCATAAAGGCAAACACGATAATAAAGTGCCAAAGCTATTTATGGTGAAATGTTTGGCCTCTATCAACAGTGGCAAGATGTTCCATCATCTTGAACTCTGGGTCATTCGCTGATCTTTAACAGTGAATCTTCCAGACGGTCCTGTATCTAAGAAACACGAAGAATCCAGCTGACACATTTCAGTACATTTCTTAGGTAAGCAATCTGAAGAATAGGAGTAAGCTTGTTAAAGCGGGCACAAGTAATGGCTTCAAAAATGCCTCTGACTTCATAGTTAGCCTAAATTTTAGTCTCTGACAACATCCATAACTGAATCCGCTAAACATTACTCCGGCAGCGTGCCCTGGAGACACAGAGTGCCATTTCTGAAAGAACCAGAGCTGCATAGGGTAAACAACTTCTCAGAAGTCAAATAGCATCACATCAATTGTGCAGGTGCTTTCGTGCTCCTCCAGCTACTACAAACATGAATCACAGCAGAGATGCACTGACACATTCATCCATATTTGCATTAAAAGCTTTTGGACGAAGGCAAGGACCCATTAGGAAGAGGTTAGAAAATGTAAATGCTATGGAGTATTTTATGTGTGGCTGTTGCAGGCTGATCCAGGGATATTTTGCACTCTGTATACTGTATATTAGTGTGCCATTTTAAGCTTTATGTAACTAACTGAAGAAGAGAAGGTCGAGTTCATGACTTGTGTAGAGTTGTCATTGTGTTAGGCACGTACACTGCACTTCTGCTTTCCTGTGATGTCTGGTGGCTTGCATGGCTGCTCTTCAGAGTAGATTTCTACTCCTGGCAAGGTCAGAATCTTAGTATACATGAGTCAATGTCTTAGCTATTGTTTTGAGAATAGTTTGGTTACAAACAGAATCAAGCAAATAGTTGACTTTCCTTTGGTCAAATGGAAAAAAGTACTTTTTTTTCCCCTCAAAATGTGTTTACTTTACAAACTGTTTGACTCAAACTAGAATAATGTGGTTGGGTCAAGTAGAATGAAATATTCACTTCTTGGATGTTTCTCATCATCACTTGTGTGTGAAAAAGACAAGAAATACAGGATTCGATTCCTAAGCAGCCTGGTAAACATGTGTAACTAAGTCAAAGTGCAAAGTCCCACTGAACTCCTCTGAAGGTCAAAGAGACAAAGCTCCTGAGCAGGGGCAGCAGTGTCAGCCAGATGGTATCCACCTAGCCTCCAAGCTCAGCAGGAGCTGGGGGCTGCATCCCAACTGAGGCCATGCCTCTATGCACGGGGTGGATGCACGGGCTGTCCTTTCCCTGGGCCAAGACTGGACTCACAAGGCAGTACAGGGAACTGTCCTGGAGGCAGTGAGAAGAATAGGAATGGTACATTTTCTGCTGTGTTGTCCCTCTGGCCTGGCTCCATCTTCAGACCCTTTAGCAGAAGTGTGAGTGCAGGGAAAAGGAAGCAGTGTATAGCCATATGAGCACCCATTGATGCCAGCAGACATGGAGCTGGACTTTAGGACAACCCAGGACTGGAGTGAATAAAAGTCAACACTGAGAATTCAGGTATTCATTTCTGCTTCAGCAAGTGCTCTACATTTTTTTTTACCTTCCCTGTACAGTTTCATTTCATTCAGTTGCCTGAGATTTACTTTTTTTTTTCACTGTAGATTAGCATTTGCATTCAGCTCCTACTCTAACCCAGATAAATCTGGTATCTGACTTCAAGCACACAAGCATTCCAGGAAAGATGCCTTAAGCCATTAAAAGGAAATACATTATCTTTCCTATTATGAAGCTCAACATCACTCACTTGTCTTCATCTCAATAGTCCATTCTTACTTCTTCATTTGCTCATGGATGAGGCTATAGACTGAATGTCTACAAAGGACTTGGCGTAAACATTTCACATTCTCCCCTGCCTGTAGAACTGGTACTGTAGTAATCAAAGGCAAAGATATTGCAACTTTCAACAGTCATTCTAAAATTTGCTTTGAGATTTTCCAGTGAATATTGTCCGATGCAGGTAAAAGATTAGAACGTATACTGTTATTTGGGAATCTAGAATGAAGGAGGTATGTTTAATTTTATATCTGTGAACAGTCACTTGATGGGTGAACTGGAATAAATGTGAGCTTATCAAACCAAGTGGAATTAAACAGTGGCTCACATTTACAACGTTTCACTTTGAATCCCTAGGAAACAATTCCCTTTCCAAACATATCAATTGGAAAACTTAAATAATAAATTCCCTTGAGGAAATTGCAGCCATCTCAAAGTTAGTCTAGAAGCTGCAAAAACAGACTGATTTGTTGAAAATACTGTTCATTGCAGACTATTCCCAGAAAGCTTTCTTGTGTATTAGAAAGGGAATAGCACTTTAATAAAATCATAGAATCAGAGAATCATAGAATGGTTTGGGTTGGAAGGGACTTTTAAGATCATGTAGTTCCAACCCCCTGCTATAAGCAGGGACACTTCCTTCTAGACCAGGTTGCTCACAGCCCCATCCAGCCTGGCCTTAAATGCCTCCAGGCTGGGGGCATCCACAACCTTGCTAGACAACCTGATCCAGTGCATTAAGAAGTTACAAAAATTTATTCCAAAGATAAGAGAAACTTTATACAGTTTATTGCAAAGACTGAGAAGTGATTTGATTAGAGCATACCTAATATCATTAGGTGAAAACAGCAGCCATTAAGGTACCTTTTATCCCCACTGACAAGGACATATGGATCAGTGGAACTGAAAACAGATCATTTTTGAAGATAAGATGGGTACAAATTTGAACAGCACCAGCAATTAACCTTTTAAGCAAGCTAATGGTGACTGATTCCTCATCTCTTGAAGCCTGGGTGACTTTGTTAGCCCAGCAAATCATTAAACTGAATCTTCGTTGATGGAATGAAATTCCAGAGGTTTTCTATGTGTTGATTCTGTGGATCCCATGCCAGTGTAAATGCTCACTCAGGATAATAAAGCTATGGCAGCTTAGACAAGGCAGAGGTCTGCTCCCTAGAGTTTTTGGAAAGGACTTCCTTGAAGAGAGATGGGTGACTTGACAAGGTGCTCTAAAATAGAAACTCATGGGTAACAGGCAGAGGAAGTGCCTTGTAAGCAAAGGGGTGGATGGGATAAGACTGTTCTTCCTCACCATGTGGTAGGAGCAGTCGCCATGAACATTCTGACAAGGTGATTGCGAAGCCTTGTGGGAAGATGTGGAGTAGAAGGACAGTAAACATGAAACTGTGGACAATACAGCGAGAGAGGGAGCTCCAAACAAGTGAGCAACGTGGCTGGCTCAACCATGTGTTTCTGCCCATGATATTTTCAGTAATGAGAAGAGGAATTCTGTTAGCCCCACGAGACCCAGCACAGCAGCCCTCTGAGCTCTTCCACGGCTCTGGCATACTGCTGCTCTTCTTTGGTAGAATTCTTCCAAACAGCCCTGTGTTCACACTGTCCTTTTGTCCCACTCTGTCCCCACTGGTATGCTTCCCAGAGACTCTGCTCAACCATGAGGTATGTGACCCACACCTCGACAGCACTGACCTGTGCAGTCAGACCACCACTGATGGTTAAAGTATTCAGAAAAACACAGAGGATCAAAACACTATACGGTAGATCCAAGTGGAAATGAAGACTTTTTGCTGCAAACCAATATGTTTATTAACACTTTTTAATCTATTGAAATGCCTGTAACAAATGTTACTAATATACAGGTAAGTTAGGTGATTAAAAATGACTTACGACACCTGTCTGATCGGTTGCACTACTTTGGTTAACCAGACAGAAATACACTTGTGCCATTTATGATAGATACTAAAAAGGGTTCAATTTAAACCAATTAGTAAAATAGCTTGTTTGGATAAAAAATAATTGTTCTCTGAGAATACATGAACACTGCTAGAAAATCCCTGCCATCTGACGTAGAAGGATTTATAGGTTTAGTGGAAATTGCTTTCCCCACTGTCCAGATTAAATACTGCAGGATGATTTTTTGTATGAGTAAACATCCTTCCAATAACGATCAGACCGATAATGTCTTAAAAAGAGAAACAGGATCTACATTTTGGCTTTCTCCTTCTTGTATGGACTATTTCTGGACACAGAACCTTCAGGTAACATGTTGACTGTCCATAAAATGCATTTTAGCATCTTCCTGCTGTTCTGGGGATGGGTTTTATCCACTGAATGCAGAGTCCACCGACAAGGAAAAGAGATACATGAGGTATACAAAAAAGGCAGGTGAGTTTCAATTTTTTTATATTCAAATAGCTACTGTTTGGACAAATACAATGTTAACAATTAAAATACAGTGCCTATCAATTGTTTTGAATTTGCAGATTGTGATCTATCGGTCAAAATATCCTCTTCTGCAGTTTTTGACAATCAGTAAGTCCTAATGCATTTTCTATAGTGAAAATCACTGTTTCTTCCCCAAAAGTGGGGTTTTGAAATATCTCGAAGTTTAGAAAGGTGCAGAAAAGAAGCATTTGATTGTATTTATCAGGATTAAAATGTTGTAGAGTATTTATATAATAGTGGAAAGGAAACTTCGGTGCTTGAGGATTGTTGTATTCACTGAAGATTAAATTGACTGGAGATGTGAATTGAAAAGAATCAGAATTTATTTTCTTCTTCCCATGCTGTTTGTTAATAAAGCTTTTCAGGAAAAAAAAATGCAGACCTCAAGAGTATAGTCAGTTATCAAAGGAAACTGAAAGAGTGTTGAGTGAAGATATGCAAAATGAATGAAAATATTCAGTTTACTCTTCCCTCTCTCTATTTCAAAAAGGATATGCATATAATGTGTTTCTCCCACTGTCTTTTAGTCTTTTAGGAAGTTTGGAGTTGAGGAAGCATTTGTTTGTTTGTTTTTTCCCTGCAACTTCGTTTTGATTATTTGCATTCTGTGTGGGGAGTATTTGAAATTTTGTATGAGGATTTTCATACTCAGACACATTGCAAGGTATCTCTGGAGGAAAGAAAATCTTTTTTTTTTTTTGGTAGATATAACTGACATATTTAGATCATTGTTGAAATGTTGTAAGCTTCTGCTTGTGAAAGGCTAAACCTAGGCAATCTCTGCTTTGCTCTGGTCACTGTTTCTGTTCTTTAATGACTCCAATTTGCCATCAGTACTGTACAGAGCAAGGGGATAGAAATGCAGGACTACCACGTTCCTGAGGAATTCAAGCCATTCCTGTTAGCTTTCAGGAAAAAAAAAAAATAAATGAAAAGTGAAAGGAAGGAAAGCATAGTGCCTTTTTATTTTCCAGGGTTCCTTGCTGTCACTGCTTAGGAAAACAAGGCAGAACAACTGCAGTGTCACAGTGGTACATCCCTGAGCCATCTTATACACAGGAAATGGTTTAAGCATTGATGACACCTTTGTGGAGCTACAACTGGCAAAGTGGGTGCCCTGCTCATGGTCAGCCCCCAGGGATGCATTGCCAGAGTCACTGTCTGGAGGGAATCTCAAAACCTCTGTTCTCCTTGAGGGTTCATGGCAGTGACGGTGGAGGTGGTATGCTGACTGTGGCAAAAGGAAGGCATGAGAAGCAAGGTGCTTCAGTTTGAACTGAGAAGCAGTCAGCAGGGAGGAGTGTGTATATCCAGCCATGTTCTTGTCCAGCATCTTCAGCACCAGCTCCCACTGCACCAAGCACCAAGCAGCGGTGCCATTAAGTAGCAGTGTACCAAATCACAGCAGAAGCATTAAAATTGCATGAAAATGGAAAATAAATACCTATTCAGTTCACATGGGAGTAGCCCTTTTACCCACACTGGGAACACGTGGTATAATTGTGCTAGCACAAGCCTCTCAGGCTGCTCTGAGGCAGCTCCTAAGTCAGGCTCACCACCCTCACAGCAGTCCCACACTGGCCCAGGAGCCATTTCTGGCCTACTTCTGCCTCAGCAGAGCAGTGCTGTTGCTGAGGAGGGCTGGAGGGGACAGGAGAGCAGCACTGGCTCATTGTCCATCAGCAATCCGTACAGTGCTTGCCTTCCCAGTATGGGATAGGCCACGCAAGATCAATAGTCTGACAGCCTTATCATTTATAAGAACAAAAAGATGGCTCTGGCCATCCATTAGTTTTCCTTCTAACTACAAGCAATGAAGCCTTCTGCCGTATGAATTATTCTCTGTGAACTCCCAATTTCTGATCATTACCTTCAGTGCCAGATAAACAGAAAATAGTAATTATAGTATTGTAGGTATTTTTTAACCTCAGGATTCATCTGTTTTCTCCTAGTCTTTGCTACCGGGTCTCTCTTCCATCCCAGCACGTGTAGGTGTATCAAACCCATTCTTCATTTCCTCTTGGATATATTCAGATCAAGCTTCTTAAATTTCTCAGCATAGGATGTTTCCCACTCCTTGGCTCTGTCCCCTCACATCTTTCCAGGGAGACAGACCCAGCAGGACTGGGTGCAGTATTTGTATGTAGATGCTGTTACTCCTGTTGACCTCCTGGCACTGTGTTCATAGTCTCAGCGGTAGTCCTGCAGTGGAGATCATGAGCACTCGACATGACTGGGCACCCAGGTGTAGCAGGACACAAGCCCTTGTCTAGAGGTACAGCCAGTCCTATTTGCTGTCACATGCAGGATCCAATATGTTAAAATGCTGATTATATGTGACTGTTCTGAAGTAGCCATTTTTCCTTTGCATTTCAAAATAAGTGCCTTTTCCCATCACAGAAATGGAGCCTGGGAGAAAATCAGACTGCAGAAGGATTCTGTATAAGATCAGAAGAAATTTGTTATGAAGATTTCTCGTGACCATTTAGATGGTTTAGATTTGGTCAATGACTCTGCTCCCCTTTCCCTCACGAATCAGCCCTGAAGCTCCTAAAGCAATTTACTTCATTGCTTCTTTTCAAGCACTGCTATTTCTTGCTCGACAAGGCTTGAGGCACCAGGATGGAAATCTACGGAGGCTTTTTCCTTCTGAAGAGACTCACTGGAGTCTGATGGAGCAAATCAATCTGAAGTGGGAAAGGCAGGTTCGACATGGCACAAAGCACTCAGACTAGCTTAGTTTGCACCCACAGCCTTTCTAGCTTCCATAGGTCATGAAGCCTCCCACTTGCCCACCTGTCAGAGCTCAGCACTAGCCACCAGTGCTGACAGGCAGACTGGGCACCTGCTGTAGATACCTGCCTCCTTGAGTGTGCTGCCGGTTTCCTGCTGTCCTTGAGAGAATTGTCCAGCTCTACTCCTGACTCTCATGTACAGGTGATGGAGGAAATATGCACTTTTGGCTTGTCTCTTTGGATGGTGATGTTCTGCAGGTGTTAACTTCCTCCAAAGAGACTCTCTTGCTCTAAACTCTAATTTCAAATAAAACCTCACAATTTTATCAACAGTTGTTAGCCTCAAGGCTTGTCCTCTCATCTGCTCAAATCCATCTGATCCCACAGTCTTTGCTCTCCTGCTGATAGGGTGAATGGTGTGAATTTGGGCTGCAGAATCAGACACCATCTTTGTCACAATTTTTGTCACTGCAGGTACCCCAAAGCAGCCATTCCAGCATGAGGCAGGACAGGCTTGAAGTAGGATGAGCAGAGAGTCATGGTCCTTTGGGGACCAGGTTTGCAAGAGAGGAATTTTTCAGAAGGTTCCTAATAATTCCTGAGATAAAATTGATGATTCTTTGAGACACAAGACAAAGTATGACAATTAAGTAACAAATAAGCACAGGTTGAAGTATATACATACAGTGACAGAAGCAGTCTAGAAAGTGTTACTGTATGAGACTTTCTACAGAGGTTCTCAACATTGTAATACATAGCCAAAATATCCGTATGCAAGTCAAAGACTCAACTACTGATTTCTGTTTATCTCTAGGACAGATGACCTCAGAAGAATTTCTCTTTAAATGGTAGCAAAATAAAAATAAATCATTTCACATCTTGCAGACCTGCTCACAGTTTGCAGTCAACCATGTGCAAATCCTGTAGAGTTTGCAAAGCTAAATTCATTCCTGCAACATTCACAGTGCCAAAACTCCTACAGATCCAAGCTGCAACCCTGAATGCCAGCACAGGGGCTGTTTACTGTTCCCAACTGCTCAGGCTCTAGCAGAGCCACCAGGTTGTGTGGGGTCACAACAGTCAACAAAATCATTATGCCAACAAAACGGCCAAAGCCTGCATTGCTAATTAGACTTGCAGAATCTGCTAGAGAGGATGAGCAAAAGGAAAAGAACTGGCCTGGAGCTGAGCCCAGGTTGCTCTGCTAGAGCTAACTCCTGGGGGAAAAAATCTCTTTTAACACCAAAATCTCCCTGGAAAGGATTGTAGCCACCTTTTAGACAAGAAACTCTCAGTGAAGAGATTTCACTGTACAAGATTTACGGCATGTGTTTAATCTTAGCTGAGAGATTTGTTTCATGTTTTCAGTCTTGCCCCTGCCTTTCCTTGTCTATGTTATAATCATTCTGCCTCACTGCAGTCTCCAAATAGTAACTCTTTTTCTGCTTCTCTCAATTTTCCTGTCCATATCTGTCAGTAAAGGCTATCTTTTACAGCAGTTGGCTGATACTCTCTACAACACGCCCTCTCAGGTTCACCCTCATGGCCCCTTATTTTTCTCTCTATGGCACTTTCAAATGTTGCTACCATTAGTGACACTCCTCTTACGTGATGGGAGTCACTCTGCATCATTATGGCCATGGTTCCTTCCCAGTCCTTTCTGAAAGGTTCAGCATTCTTCTGAACATTTGCTAAACTACATTGCCTTTTTTTTTTCTTTAAACAGGGCTTTTTTGTTACCAGCTCCTGCTTTCATGGCCTCCAGAGGTTTGATTTGGACTCATAAATTCACCCGTGAGCCCTAACAGAATTTCTTCCTTTACTTCCCAGCAGTTCTTAAGCTGTTCTCTTGTCCTAGAGTTTTGCTGTTGTATCTTATCTTCAGGATTGATTCCGAAAGCATTTATTTGCAGGAACAAATCTTACTAATGCAAGCTACCTTCAGATCGGATCTTTGGAGTGCACAATAAGCCTGTGAAATGCCCATGAAAGCAATGTCTATGTGAGCACATTACCAGGAGCAATCCAGATCCAGTGGGGTGCTGAGCGCCCGCAGCTCCCAAAGCACTGTGTGTTCAGGTCAGCAGTCTGTGCTGTGCCTGGCACCAAAGGCACTGCAGTGCTTTGAGAGCAACAAGAGACCCGGGATGGGCTTCAGGCCAGTGTAATGGAAGTTTCTCCCCTGTTGGAAACCTGCCTTTCTCT